AGGGCGCTTTTCCCAGCACTCAGTTCAGGCTGGGATCTGTGCTCGGCGGACCTGAGGGGGGAATGAAGGAAACCGATGCACACTGAGAGGCAGTTAGCTAGAGAGCCAGCCGAGAAACCTAGAGAACTTGGATCATCGAGAGCCGCAGTAATGAAACTCTCATCAGAATTTTGATTAATAATATGTTTTATATGTTTTTATTTTAATGACCATCTTTGGAATTAAAAAAATTATCTTTATTGTTGAAAGTATTACAGATGTCCCCCTTTTTCCCCTATTGACCTCCTCCACCCCCACCCCCACCCCAGGCCTACTGCACTATTGTGTGTCTATATATCTTTGGAATTTAAGTGGCTGTGATGTACTAGGTGTTATTATCTCTGATTTAGAATTCAATTCAATTATGGGCAAAAAGTAAATACATGTAATCTTGTTTTTGTTACAGAAAGTTCTTTTTTATTAAAAAGCATTGTTTTGGGGGTAGAGATTCTCACAAAGCATCTCAGGTGTGACTTAATCTTTATATTGAACATGAAATGGCGTAATAAGCAGAGATGTGTGAGGGCAAAAGGAGATTGAAACATGTTGCCCTTTAGGAAGCTTTAAAAATATGGTAGCCCTGGCTGGTTTGGCTCAGTGGACAGAGCATCAGCCTGCGGACTGAAGGGTCCCGGGTTCGATTCCAGTCAAGGGCATGTACAGTGGGGCCTTGACTTACGAGTTTAATTCGTTCTGAGACCAAGCTTGTTAAGGAGCTCGTTAACTCAAATTACTCTATCAACTCAATGCAAAAAATCGGCCGAGAGACAGCTGGTATCTCAAAAACTCTTTAATCGGGACACTCGTAAGTCAAGGCCCCACTGTACCTTGGTTGCAGTCACACCCCCCAGGAGGAGGTGTGCAGGAGGCAACTGATCAATGTTTCTCTCTCATCGATATTTCTAACTCTCTATCCCTCTTCCTTCCTCTCTATAAAAAAAAAAATCAGTAAAAATATGGTAAAATTCAGGTAGCCAATTTTCTCATGGCCTCCATGGATTACCCTTAAATAGTATATTATCTGACAGTGATGATTAAGAAAGTCAGAAAAGGTTACCTGTATAACCAGAAACATTTAATTTAACTATCATTCATGTAATATATTAAATACATATGAATGTAAACACACGTATGCACCTATTTTGATCATCTCAATTACATGTTCAGAAAAGTATCAACACACATTGATATCATGAACCTATCAGAATCCTTATTGGCTGATTTATTTTTGGACAATTTAGATGGAATAATTTAGTTTTAGAGGGCACAGTAATTAACATCCTATATAATAAAAGCCTAATATGCAAATTGACTGAACAGCAGAATGACCGGTGGAAGGACTGGTCGCTATGACATGCACTGACCACGAGGGAGCAGATGCTCAATGCAGGAGCTGCCCCCAGCCTGCAGGCCCCAGGCCAGCCAAGGTGGGTGCCAGCGGGGGAGCCCCTGATAGCCCTGCCAGTCACCCCACAGATTGGCCCTGCTCACCGGCCAGGCCTAGGGACCCTACCCATGCATGAATTTTGTGCACCGGGCCTCTAGTTGATACATAAGGGGTTATACATGACACCAAGTATTTAGATTGACTTAACATTGGCTATTTCAGTACATGAGAGGAAAAACCCATACAGTGGACACTTAAATGGCTATTTCCTGATATTGAAATACCTTACCATAAGAGTTCTTTCGATCCAGTTCTAGAAGAGCATGATTTTCTCTCTGCCATTGGATGACCCTTGCTACTGCGATCTCCATGAAACTTAACATCATCCCATTTTTCCAGTTGTGTTTGAATGTCTATCAAGGAGACAGGAAGAGGATGAGAGGGATAGGGGGAGAATATGAGGTGCAGAGAGAAGAAGAGAAACTGATTAAGGTTGAGAAGTGTTATTACAAGTGAACTTCACTCAACTGATATTTTCAAACCCCAAGACCAATTCTTTAAGGTCACATGAAAATTAAAACATGTGTAGCTAAATAAAAATGAGACCTATTAAGGAAATTCAATTGCATTTACAGTTAAACAATCAAGTTGTTTTACCTGAATTTGATTCAAGAGCTATATGCATTCTGAATTCTGTGCATGAGGCCATGGAACCCTGTGGGAATGAGCACATGGAGTACTGGGTCCTGTTGGCCTCTAGCTCAGACCATGGCTTTGAGGCACACCTGGCATGTTTCTAGAAAGAAATTCTGTCTAAAGAGCCTCCCTGTTAAAAGGAGGTGAGAAGAAACTAAAGCACCTTTCACAGCTTTTGTACAGACTGTGTAGTTTCTCGCCAAAGAAAGGAATTAATAATGGGGATGGAGAGAAAAGAGAAAGCCAAGAGAATGCCAGACCATGTTCTCCCTGTGGCTTCATTCTTCCATCTGACCTAAAGTGTCCTTCTCTCTCATTAACAAGTGTGTGACTGTAAATAAACCACTTAAACCATCTTAGGTCCATTTTTTCCCATTAAGAAAAGACAGGTTTGCTTTCTGTGTCCTCCAAAGTTCTTGAAATGAAACATTTTTATGACTTCTTACGCAGGACATTTTCTCAAAAGCAGAGAAATTTAAGTCACCTTTATATGTATATTATGTTATATTATAACTAGAGGCCTAGTGCATGATTTTGTTCATGGGTGGGGTTCCTCAGCTTGGCCGGCAATCTGGGGCAATCAGGGCTGTTTGAGGCCGGTCGACCAAGGGGAGGGACCGCGGGAGGTTGGCTGGCTGTGGGAGATTGGCTGTGGGATCACACTGATCACTGGGGGGCAGCTCTTGCGTTGAGCGTCTGCCCCCTGGTGGTTAGTGCATGTCATAATGACTGGTCATAACGGTTGTTCAGGCTTTTATATATATAGATGTTTTCTATGATCTTTAGGTGAGATCATCTATACCCATGAATGCAATATCCATTCACAGGCTTCAGATGTTCAAATCTCCATTTCCTGCTCAGCTCTCTCTCCCAAGTTCTAGATCTATACATTTAACAATTGATTGGACATCTCCACAGAGTAATCCCAGTTTCCTCAAATACATGGTGGGGCTAATGTAACAAAACACAGTTTATTCTTGTATTATTATTTGTTGATTATTGTATTATTTTCCATATGAACAACTGCAAACCTACTTTTGCTCCATCCTCTAAAACAGGTTCAAAACAACTCCAGAATTTCCACCTTGACTTCCTGCCTCCCTCTTTCCCTCTTGTATCCTTATCACAGTGTTCAGCACATTCTATATGTCTTCATTGCTGGCATACACGTGTCTACTTGGTCCACAAGTCCTACTCCCACTTCTTCATCTATGCATCCACCAGAAAAATCGCTTTTTAAAGTAGAATCTGTTGAAGTCCCTCTTATGTGTAAAACCCTTCAACCCCGCCTTTCCCCCAAACTCAAGGGTATGGCATCCATTATCCCATTATCTCAGCCCCTAGTGACTCTCAGACTTATTTCTCACAGCTTGAATACTATCACAAATGTTTGTGTTTGCTTGAAAGGACATTTTTTGTGTGTTTCTCTATTTGTGTGTGAATCCCCTTCTCTTCTGCATCAGCAATGCCCTGTCCTTTCCTCCCTCCCTCTGATCCATATTTTTCATCTGGAAAATTTCCACTCATCTGTCAAGACTCTGCTCACACAGTACCTCCTATAAGACCTTCTACAACCCCCTGGCTGGGTCAGGGCTCTATGAAGGTGCTCTTTTTTGGAAGTGACCTGGGCTTCCCTTCATTGCCACATATACAGTAGTTCCCCCTTATCTTCAGGGGATACTTTCCAAGACCCTCAGTGGATGCCTGAAACGGTGGTTGGTACTGAACCCTATATGTATTATGTTCTTTCCTAATCACGTACACCTAAGATGAAGTTTAATTTAAAAAGTAGGCAATTTTACGCATAGAAGATTCATTCTTACCACAAACCTAAATAACCATGGCATATGCTTCCCTCCCCCCCCCCTTTCCTTGTTAAATCAAGAACGTTCACCTTTTCACTTACAAGAAGAACTTAACAGATTCTCTTTGGCATATCCGAATTGCCAGCATCACTGTGCTTCTGCTCTGGGGCCATTATTAAGTAAATAAGAGGTCCTTGGACACAGGCACTGCAATATGGAGACAGTCAATCTGATAACTGAGACAGCTACTAAAGGACTAAGGGGCAGGGAGCAGCTATGGTGTGGAGAGGCTGGACAAAGGGATGATTCACATCCTCGGCGGGATGGAGCTAGAGCCCTTGAGACCTCATTATGCTTCTCAGAATGGCATGCTATTTAAAACTTATTAATTGATGATTTCTGGAATTTTCCACTTAACATTTTTGGACTGATAACTGACACTTCAGAAAGTGAAACTGCAAATTCGGAGGACTACTGTAGTGCATATTTTATTATAATCAATTAATCACTTTTCTATCTCTCCACTAGAGTGTGAACTTACTAAGCGAGAATGTAAGCTTAATGAAGGCAGAGAGCTTCTATTATTTATCTTTGTATGCCTAGCACATAGCAGGGAACATGGTAGGCATTCAGAGAAATGTTTACTGAACAAATGAAAAAAATAATTCATGGCCATCTAACATGTACACGTGGCAGTGCTTGGCAACTCCACATATCTTTCCCCTTTAATCTTCACAACCTACGGATAAGTTGCTAATATGCTAATTTTATGAGTATTTACCCACACACACATGTATACACATACACACCAGCCAGCCTTCGGCTTTCTAAAACGCCTGCCACCTTCATTCTCCTGAGAAAGGAGCGTTTAATTTGACTGGTTCCACGAGCTGAGGTTAAGCTCTCCTTTCTCAGGAAGATGTACAGTGGTTAAAAGCACGGGCTTTGAAGTTAATTAGAGCTAGCCTCAAATTCCAGTTCTTCATACTAACTGAGCTCTTGGGCAAGTTATTTAAATTTGAAAACCTGGTTCCTCACTTATTTCAAAGAGTTGGGATGAATTAAAGGGCTAATATATGTAAATCATTACATATATTAGCACAGTCCTGGACATCATAAACCAGTGATGGCGAACCTTTTGAGCTCGGCGTGTCAGCATTTTGAAAAACCCTAACTTAACTCTGGTGCCATGTCACATATAGAAATGTTTTGATATTTGTTTTGATAGTAAAACAAAGATTTATATTTTTGATATTTATTTTATGTATTTCAATGCCATTTAACAAAGAAAAATCAACCAAAAAATTGAGTTCATGTGTCACCTCTGACACGTGTGTCATAGGTTCACCATCACTGTCATAAACCATGAATAAATGGTAATGGCTTTGTATCGAATGTATCTCTATGCATATTACATGTTACCATTCTGCTGGGCTATTCCTGAGCCTAGTGTTAGAGTTGTTTTCCTCTCCTCTCCTGTTCTCCCTCTCCCTCTCCCCCTCCCTCTCCATCTCCCTCTCCCTCCCCCCACCCCATCTCTCTCTTTCTCCCCGGGCTCTCTCTAGACTGAATGCTACTAGAGAGAAATAGTCATGTCTGATTTTTGCTCCAATGCCTAGTATGGTGTCTTCCATCTATCAAGAGTGCAATACATGTGGCTTGAATAAATAAATGACTGAATCCATATCAGTTATGCAAAACCACTTAACTCAAGCACAAAAGACGAGTGTCCTGCCATTTTCTATGTGGAATTAATCCTTTCTACTCCTTTGCCCATGGTTTTAATGCCATTTGTGGGACTTCCTTGTGTCAAGGCAAGGGTGAGCAGCAACAGACACTTAGCTACCGCCTCACCTAAATCTAAGGATGCCGTTTCCGGGCCTCGAAGAGGCTGCTGGCCTCTCTGTTCAGCCTCCGCACCGATGAGATCAGCTCCATCAGCCTTCTTCTTGAGGGATGCGGTTTTCGATGAGGCCTCCAGCTTTTTGGCTTTGGTTTGGGTTTGCGAGACGGGTTCACTCAGGTCGAGGAGGTCCAAGCCTGTGGTCAACACTGTGAGAGACGGAAGAGGTTAAGACAAGCCCCTCAGGGCTCTGAAGTCACTGTTAAAAAAGAGGCTTCGGTGGGTGCAGAGGGAATTTGTGTTTGTAGTGTAGGTTAGAAGCACCAAAGTAAGTTAGCTCACCACTGATTTATAAAGACAGTCTGCATTTACATGGGGAAGTTTGCTGCCTGTTCTTTGTATTTTGCATGGTACAAATCTGCAACGTGGGGTTTAGATCAGCCCTCACCAGCGATGAAGGTTTGAATTGAAATTCAAGTGATGAAATTGAATCTGAGTTCAGGTACCATTTACTTGGCTTTGCTTGATATATAGAGGTTTATTTTAGAGTGCAGTTTTTGTTTTTTGTTTTTCCCAGAGAAGAGCCAATCTAGCCCTTTCAGGTATATGCTTACGAAACAGTTATGAGGATGACTTGGGCAAGTTTCTGAATGTCTTTGTTTTAATTTCAAGCGACTAAAGCAAACACTGTACAAAAAGAATGCTGCTAATTATCTTCTATTTGATTAAGCAATTCAATCAGAAAATGGCTTGCTGTTTGGGCTCAACTAGAGAGGTGTTTTATAATCCATAGTTGATGAATAGGTACACATGTTAATGACTTTTCTGCTTAATATGCAAATTTAAATTTCAATGTAACAAATCATAAAACGGTTAGACTTTTACTTCCTAGCAAGTTGATTACATTGTATTAAACACTGTAATGTAGGCAGCAATAATAATCTGTTCAAGTGCAAACGAGGCAAATGAGAATTTAAAAGGCAAGCTTTGAAACTCTTCATCCCTCTTGCTCTTACAGTGCAAGGGACCAGTGTTTGGCCTAGCTCCTTGTGAGAAGTGGAAACTTCTAATCAGAGAAGTTCCCTTCCGCCGTACCTGAGGCTGGCTTCTGAACTGGCTTGGTGGCTTCCCGGCCCAGGATCTCCTCACCCAGCTAGCTTAGAAACACCACCAAAGTGACCGTAGAACTCCTAGGGTTAGCCCTTTCGGGTACCCTCTACAAGGACCGCACCCCTCCTCTTTGGTCTCCCAGCTTTTCCTTTTGGTAGGAAATGGATTTCTGTTGATGTCTCAGCTCTCCTCCACCTGCTTCCCCCTTGCACTCAAGACAGGTTAGGGCTCAAATGAGCTCACAATCAGGATTTCTTCTTTTTTTAAAAAAACTTTTTAATTGCTTTTAGAGAGGAAGGGTGAGGGGGAGAGAGATAGAAACATCAATGATGAGAGAGAATCATTGACCGACTGCCTGCTGCATGCCCCACACTGGAGATCGTGCCTACAACCTGGGCTTGTGCCCTGACCAAGAATCGAACCGCGACCTCCTGGTTCATAGGTCAACACTCAACCACTGAGCCACGCCAGCTGGGCAGGATTTCTTTAGTGCTGCACTGTCCTCATGAGTTAAGCGTCCCTATGGGATCCTTCAGACAGTGTGCCAAGTTTTCCTCTCCATGATTTTGTCTTCTGATTTCAATGACAAATCACAGTGGATGCATGTTGAAGGTGACGTAGAAGGACCTGGCTATACCACTGCTTAGCTGTGTGATTTGGAGTAAGTTCTTGACCGCTCTGAGTTTTAGTTTTATCATCTGAAAAATGAGGAATTAATAGTCTGTCTTTAAGACATGATACAGAGATTCAATTTTCTAATTTGTAAATAGAATGTGTGAAACATAAGGCATACTGTAGGTACTGGATACACGTTATTGTCATTCTTGGTGGCCAGTGCCTGATGCTTTTCTTTCCTTTTCCTTTTTGTTGGTCTCCTTCTAGTTTCTCTGATCCTATTTCAGGCAGGAACCAGCTCCCGACACTGACAGAAAGAGGAGAAACCACTGGGAATAAAGTGGAGGATGAGACAGAGATAATGGTTCTGCAGAAGATGCTATGAGGTACATTTATCATAAAATGGTCTGAAAGTGTCAGCTTATCTCATACAAGTGTTCTGATGAGATGGAGCCACTTTGCGATGCAAAGATGCTGTGAGAGCTGAGGAGTGTTTGTGGCTAGCAAGAACCCATGGGGAGAGAAGTGGCTTTCAGAGCGGAGCCGCCTGGCTTGATGGCTATGATTTAAGCGTGGCACGCAGCCCAGATAGGAGAGGACACCACACATGTCATATCCTTTGAATGTTTAATCAAAAATTTCCAGGCCACTGGTGTGTCGGCAGGGATCCTAGACCCATGATTTCCTTCTAATAGAAGGAAAGAAGTGGAACACAGTCTCTGGAGCACCATATATGTTTCCTTACTGACTGTAAAAGCAATTAGGAATCAGTCACTTGCTCCCACATTTCTTTTAGGAGCAAATGATACAGGAATCATCTACTTGTATAAGGGAAGTACTTTTGCTACAAATAATAACAGGTGAATATTAATTTAGTTCTTTATCTGCTTCTCACTAAAAGCCCGAGGCTCATTATACTATAGTGGTGTTAATAGCATTGTGTGTCCCATCTAAGTATCAAATCAGGGCTTCATTAGAGGTGCTATTTTATTCTAACTGTTTTAAGCAGCCTCACCTCCCAGGGCCCATGTAATCTAGTATTCATAAACATCTGCCGTGCCCTGAGGGAGTCCTCCAGTTCAACAGGGTGTGATCCTCAATCAGGTGTCCTTGAAATAGATGAGCACAAATACTTATGTATTCTATCTTCATGAAATCTCACCCAATGAAATTAGGTTATAAAAACAAAAGTTTCTGGAATAGCCTACTATTTAAATGATGCCTCGGATGACCCAATCTGCCAAATAATTGGGAGCTAAACAAAAAATAATGAAAGCCACCTCAATAGAATTAGCACGTTGCCTCCAGGTTCAGATCAAGTGTAAAGAGGAGTGGGGAAGAACATGCACTCAGGAGTGGCAGGGCCTGTGTTTGAATCCTCTTATGGGCAACGTGCTATCAGGTGTTTGAGTTTCCTATTGTAACAAATTACTGCGAATTTAGTAGCTTACAGCAACACAAATGTATTTCCCTATAGTTCTAAGTCAGCAGGCCCAAAATCAAGGTGTTGGCCGGGCTGCATTTTCCCTGGAAGCTCTAAGGGACAATTCATTTCATTGACTTTTCCAAACTTCTACAGGGTATTTGCAATTCCTTTGTTTGTGGTCCCTTCCTCCATCTCCAAAACCAATAGCATAGCATCATGCCAAGATGGTAGCACACTGACTTTAATTTTTCATTGGAAGAAAATAGCCAGAATAAATGACTCTCATCTTATCTAATAAAAGAGAAACATGCAAATTGACCATACCTCTGCTACACCCACCAGCCACGCTTATCAGCCAATCAGGAGTGAGTATGCTAATAAACCCAACCAAGATGGTGGTGGCTACAGAGCTGGAGCAAACAGGAGGCTTGGGTCGCCCCTGGCGATGGAGGAAGCCACGCTTCCTGCCTGCCCTGGCGGGCTGTGGGCTCTGCTCAAGGCTACAAAGTTTCAATTAAAGAAGATAAATAAATCCCAGATACCTGCTTCCAGCCACTGTGGCCTCTGCTCAAGGAGGTCTGGGAGCCTGGGTTGCCCGGGGCTGTGGCCAGCCTGCAAACAGCCCTCAGCCACTCACCCAGGTTGGCCAGGCACCCCAGTGGGGACCCCAACCCTGAAGGGAGTGTGGCCAGCCTGAAAACAGCCCTCAGCCTCTCACCCAGGCTGGCCACACCTCCCCAGCAGGGACTCTCACTCCATGGGGGCATGGCCGGCCTGCAAACTACCACAGGCCCCTCACCCAGACTGCCCCACATCCCAAGGGAACCCCCACCCTGATCCGGGACACCCTTCAGGGCCAACCAGCCGGACCCCACCCGTTCACCAGGCCTCTATCTATACTAATAAAAAGGTAATATGCTAATTAGACTGGGAGACCTTCCGGACATTCTTCTGGACAAAGCCATGGTGGCGGGGCTGAGGTAGAGGCGGTTAGAGGCCAAGAGGAGAGGGAAGTTGTGGGTGATCAGGCCAGGATGGGATGGCAGTTGTGGGTGATGCCGGCAGTCGCCCGGGACCCGATCCCGCCGGCCCGCGTCCTCTAATTAGTTCCCTTCCCCTGTGCATGAATTTCGTGCACCGGGCCACTCGTCTTAATATAAGTTTCTTCAAATTTCAGCTTGATTGACTTGGTACAAACATGAAGCAGGGTTTCTTCCATATTTTACTCCAAGTTTGTTTAATATCCACTTGAAGTGTAATGCCTAGAATGTCATATACAAGGACTGTCCTGATTTCTCAATGTAATTTCATGCTATTCTATAAAATGACAGTTTCAACTTAAAATTATTATTTTTATTAAAAATTTGGAAAGAAAATGGTAACTCTATCTCCTGCCTAAAAAATTTAACTGTAAAATTATTGGAACAAATTAAAAATTCTTTCCAGGATGCTTGAATGCTAAAACTTTTTCTGTTTAAAGATGTGATTTATGTTGCATTTTGAGATGTAAATTGTAGTTTTGTAATAATAATAAAAAAGAACTATATTCCTTAGGGATTAAAAACATATAGTGTTTCTGCCTTGAGATATAATTTTTAAGATTAAAAGCACACTATCTAATAAGAGTCTTCCTTCAGGATCAGAATCTATGGGACCCAGATGTACTGAATGCTGAGGCTGAGAAAAGGAAAATCCAGCCTCAAAATATCACTTTTCCCAACCCCCTACTTTGAGGGCATTATGGATTGAGTTGGGTTCCCCCCAAAACTCATCTGTTGAAGTTAACGCCCAGTGCCTCAGAAGGTGATAGGGTCGCCCTGTCTGGTCTGGCTCAGTGGATAGAGTGTCAGCCTGCAGACTGAAGGATCCCAGGTTCAATTCCAGTCAAGGGCATGTATCTTGGTTGTGGGCACATTCCCAGTAGGGGGTGTGCAGGGGGCAGCTGATTGATGTTTCTCTCTCATGGATGTTTCTAACTCTCTATCCCTCTCCCTTCCTCTCTGTAAAAAATCAATAAAATATATTTTTTTTAAAAGAAGGTGATAGGGTCAATGGAGATATAATTAGTTAAGATGATTCATGATGGAGTAGGGCCTACCTACTGGTATCCTTATAAAAAGGGGAAACTTTTAGACTTCTCTTCCCCAGAAAGAGAATACATTGTGTGTACAGGAATAATGTCAGGTGAAGATTCCAGTTATGCTGCCACAAGCCAAGGAACTGCCAGAAACCAGAAGAGAGGCCTAGGAGAGCTCCTTCCCAAGCACCTGCAGAGGGAGAATGGTCCTACTGACCTTGATTTTGTAGTTCTGGGTTCCAGAACTGGGAGACAACATATTTCTGTTGTTTAATCTATGAAGTTTATGATATTTTGCCATGGCAGTCCTAAGAAACTAATAATAGAGGCAATACTGTAGGTACTGGGATTGCAGGAGTTGACCCATTCTTTTGATATTTCCCTCCAATATTTCACAGGTCTCTCCTATGTTAGAAAAACCAAGGTGAAAGCAGCTTTTGAGCCAAATATCATTTGGCTCTTTCTGGTGGGCTCCTCTTAAGTGACTTAGTTGTAGCATCCTCTGGATTCTTCTGGGGGCAGCTCTACAGTTTTGGAGGGGAAGCTCCAGTTTCAGAGATCAGGAGGATGACTCTGATCGGATAGCATGTGAATTTACACAATTTCCTGACTAAAATGCAGCAAACACAATTTCATTTGCTTGATTACTCCAAGTGATAGCTGAGTGTAGAAAATGATTGCTTTGGTGTGACATACAGAAAGTTAATGCCTTTGAAAAGGGAAGTGTTGGGTGTCCTGTTTTTTAACTGATAGCTAACAGGAATGGTAATACCTGTTGAGCTCACTTGGAGTTAAGACTTACATAGATTGCTTCGTTTAGTCTTCCCAAGTAACCGAGAAGATCTAGATCTTACTATTATTAGATGGATGAGGAAGTAGACCTAGTTAAGCAACTTGCCCGAGGACACTGAGCTGCTAAATGGCCGAGCTGAGATTTGAAATTATGAACTTTGACCTCAGAGACTGTAGACAACACTCCCACAAAAATGTCTCTGTCTTGTATTAGTTACGTTTGTTGTTGTAATTTTTAGCACCTGTTTAAAAAAATCACAATTTCCTTCACCTGTGATTTTGTTCAGGTATTTAAGCGTATACTGAAAATATAGCAGGTAACAGCCAGCTGAGGACACGATGGGAGATGGAAGGAATTTAAGGAGACAGGATGTGATTATCACCTCCTATCTCCGTCAAATTCTCTCCCACAACCTAACATAACCTTTGTTCTCTGATTCTGAACATCATTTTCTCATTCTTATTTGAACAACACGCCTTTGAATGTGAATGCTGACTGAATGAAATCAATGCCGTAAGCTGCCTCTGATATCGAAGGTGAAAATTAGCTTTTGAGTCAAATCTTTTGTTGCTCCCTCAGGGTGGGCCCTACCTAAGTGACTTAGTTTTAGTATCAGTGAGAATTGGAAAATGCAGAGGGTGCTTGAGGAGGTGGCATTCATACCTGAGGCCTCTTATATCCCTCAGAGGATGAATACTTGTTAGTGCCTATAATATCCCAAGTCTCTAGGACATTTTAGTTGTCATTTCAATCCACTTGAAGGGGTGGCCTATATTTTTACTTTACTGGACTTTTGTCAGACAAAGTATTTTCAGGCAGAACTTGAAAACCCTTACTCTGAAATAGATGCTTTTGTTTTAAAGGTTTCCTACTGTGATGTGACTTGATGAGATGTAAATATGAAAATATGTATGGAAAAACCATTCATTGCTAATAGTGGCATGCTAATGTTCAGCAACACTGGTTGTGTAATATATACACGTCGCAGTTTCTTACAGCATAATGAAAAGTGGTTCATTGGCTTATGTTGAATAATAAATGTTCTAAAGTTTTAGTCAGTTGCAAACATTTTTCTCCAGTTAAAATGCATTGTGGAAAGAAAACGTGTATTTTACTTCAGTGAAAATGAACTCCACCCAAGGATCAGTTAAAAGTGAAAGAATTACCAGCTGTGTTGGACGTTACTGGCCTTGCTATTGCCTCCGATTTGGTTTCACAGAGAAAGTCATCGATGGAGGGACTCAGGAGGGGTCTGCTTTCTTGCTGTTCATTCACCAGCTGAGAACAAATGAACACAGGTGTCACGGGCCGTGTTAAACTGCAGAATCAGATAAGTTAAAATGCAGCCTTGCAACAAAATGAGAAGAGCAAGCCTACCAAAAAAGAAAGAAACCAATAAATAACGGGGCAAGGGCAAGAAAGAAAAAAATAATACCAAAGGATGGGGAATGAGCCTTTTAGCACTGTGAACATTTTCGATGCAGCCAACTTCAATTTTTAAAGCTCAAGCCTTTTTTCCTTCTCCTAGGACAGTTTTAGAATTATTCGCTAATTTCAATATGTAGGAAATAATAACTATTGAATCACTGTTCCTAAGGACCAATCCCACTCTTCCCTTGGACAATAAGCTCCTACTAAGACCTGGAATGGTGGCTTTTGATTTTGAGAAAACACATTCTGTTTAGGACTAGCCAGTCAGTGTTTTGTGGTGACAGCACACACATCTGTGTGTGGGGATAAACACTCCTTTCTCCCTCTTTAAAAGCTTAAGTCACCTACTGGCACACACCCTTACATACACTTCCTTGGAATGCTTTAAGCTTTTGTAGTGCATAACAAACATTATTTTGAAAGAGTACAAAATATTGTTATATTAGCTGTCATATTACCTACATATCCAGTAGATATATTTGTGAAAATCTATATGTAAAGCAGATTTCTGTGAATTCAATGATATTTTCCCATAGGCTTGTTCTGTAATTTCAGAACTTTTTCATTTAAATTTTAAAAAAATATTTTTTATTGTTTTCAGAGAGGAAGGGAGAGGGTGAGAGAGATAGAAACATCAATGATGAGAGAGAATCATTGATTGGCTACCTCTTGCACCCCGCCCCCTGGGGATTGAGCCCACAACCCCATGGAACCTAGGACCTTTCAGTCCGCAAGCCAATGCTCTATCCACTGAGCCAAACCAGCTAGGGCTCAGTTTGATTTTTAGTAGGTCTCTATCTATCAGTGGCAGCCATCCATTTACTATCAGTAATTCTGTGCCTCTTGAATTCAGGATTCCTTAAGTTCTATTTCTGTGATTAAGGGAAAAAATATACTGATGATCCAAAAGTGGTTAATCCTTAAATCAAATTAATTGCCTTAGCTTTTCACAAGATTTTATATTGGTCTTTCTTAAAATGGGCAGAGTCATCTACTTTTCTATGTATTATATAAAAAAGATAAGCCTAAAAATCTCTAAATTTTAAAAATACTAATTTGCAAGGCTGTATTTTAAAAGAGACATAAAATAATGAAGTGTTTTGAGTATTACCAAATCAAAATATTTTATGTGACTCTACTCACTTTCACTTTATTATTTCTTTAGCACATTGTCAGTGGTATTATAGCTTAGAACTTATGGAAGATGGCAAGAGACCTATGAATAATGGTAAATATGGGAAGGAAAAATGCAATACTGTTAATATTGAAGGAAGAATATGGAAACATTTAGTGATCATTCGGGGATTAAAAACCAAGAGGCAATTTGGTACTTTTTCATGTTCATCCTACAGGGATAAACCTCAGATCTTCACTGGAGTTTAAGATTTTGACATAGAACTGGTGATTTGACTTTCATACATAGTAATATGCAGACATTATCAAGGGGTAAGTCTTGAGAATGTCATTTCCTTTTAGTGTTTAAGATACAGTGATAGAAATTTCTTCAATTAGTATAAGTTTAGTGTTACATGTATACAGACTCAGATTCTTCTAGGAATTACATTATCTAAGGTGTTAACCTATGTTTTGGTCTTAACCTTTTTGGAGGGGGGTAGAGGGAGGGGGTTGTCTCTTTAACCGATGAGTGAAACTCTGAGTACCTTTGAATTTTTTCTGAATTTGAACATTCTTGGGTATCATCCATCTTATTTATGTTGAAATATTTTTTGATGTTGAGGGACTATGAGCCTTTCATATTTCTGGTATAAAATATATTTGAATTTTTATAAATGCTGTGGTCTATTTGAGTTTAGGAGTGATTTATAATATTTTCTCGTATAAAAATCAATTTTACCATCTGGAAATGTAGTTGAAAGCACTGATACAGAATATAATATACTAGAAAATAAAGACATGGTTAAACATCACTGATTCTGGGAACCCTTCTGAGTCCACAAAATTCACCATGTACTTTTTCTGAAAATGTGATTAGTTTTCTAGGACTTGTATTTCATTTATAGTTTGGTCATGTAAAAGCTTTGTGTATATAAGAGCTTCCAAAGGACCCATACATTAATGTATATTTCTTGGTAGAACTTGCCCGTTTAACCCTATGTGCTAAGCGTAATGAACCCATCTAGTGTGATATCACCAGAGTGATGTGATGGTCCTGACTTAGCAACAATGCTTATCTCCAGGCCATGTCATTCTCATGTCAAATGAGATCTGGATTCTACTGCGCTATAAACATTCATGGACAGTGAAGGTCACCATCAAGTATGGCACCACACTATACTCACAGAAGTTAGTAAAACAGGCTAGCATTAAGTAAGCAGTGCATTTTAATGACTTGGTCTCTAGTTCTAGGTCTCAGATCTATTGGTTAAGGCACATAAGGTACAAAGAATAAATATAACCAATACAACTGCAACTTTAAAAGTTATATATATATTTACATATATGTGCAATGTCCTAACTATCTCTTTGATAGCCGTTATTTCTCTGAAGAAGTCTGATGATATTGATAGATAACTAAGAATAATGTAGTTATACTCTTAGTCATGATTTGAAGATCAATTATTATCCTATCTAATAAAAAGAGAATATGCTAATTGACCGTCCCACCCTCAAAGATGGCGGTGTCCACAGCCACAAGATGGCCTGCAGGGGAGGGCAGTTGGGGGTGACTGGGCCAGCAGGGAAGGGGAGTTGGGGGCAATTGGGCCGGCAGAGGAGCAGTTAGGCATCAATCAGGCTGGCAGGGGAGCAGTTAGGGGGGGATCAGGCTGGCAGGCAGAAGCGGTTAGAGACAATCAGGCAGGCAGGCAGGCGAGTGGTGGGGAGCCAGCAGTCCCAGATTGTGAGAGGGTACAGGCTGGGCTGAGGGACACCCCCTCCCCCAGTGCATGAATTTCATGCACTGGACCTCTAGTATAAATATAAGTATAAATTATAGTCCACAAAAGTCCCCATACACTTTTTCTTAACTTTGGATACAATTAAATTCCTTTATGGAATAAGCATAAATTACTTACAGTTTTAGGAAGCCAGATTTTTAGATTTCTATACTTTTAGTTGTAAACACTGAAAAATGACAAAAGAATTCTAGAAAGTAAGACCTTTGTCCCCATGAACATCTAAAGGGGCACAAAGGAAAAAGCACAATTAATTGAGAGGCCCACCCTCTTAGGCAAGTCTGCTTTATCAAAGGTAATTGGATTTTTAGGGGGAGTCTCTCTCTTCTTTCATACTTCAGACTTATTATCTGGAGCAAGCACCTCTAGCATTCTCAGTGTTTCTCAACCAAAGAAGAAGTGTTCAGAGACTTTAGGGAGCCCAGGACTATGGCATGGCTTCTCCAGTCTTCTTCTACCCCTGCCTCACAAAGCCTGTGTCTCTTCTACACCTACTATTTTGTTTCTGACCACATGTCATACCTGGACTGATAGAGATGTTATGTCTACCCATCCCATGAACTGAGCTGCTCTTCTGGCTTTCTCCATAGACACAAACCAGAGGAAATAAACTACTTTCTGTGTCAGTGTTTTTAAGCTGAAGCACAGTTTAGCTCTTGGGAAATGCTGGGGTTGGAATGGAGGATAGTGACAGGGCTCAGAGGTGAAGAAGATAAAGGGCCAGGTTTCAGATAGCATGGGAAGATAATTTGGGAACTGAAAGGTTTTTGGTTTTAATTGAGATGTGGAAGATGAAACTGGAGATATCATAACAAAATCTTTTTTTTATAAGTGCTGAGGTCAGAGACTCTGGCTTATTCATATTTATGTTCTTCACAACTTTGAACAGAATGCCTTCATATAAGAAGGGCTCAGTAAATGGTTACCAAAGGGACAGTGACTCTGCAGAAACAGAAGATATAAAAAGATCTTTCTCAAACAGTCTGATTTTGAACTGTGTCTTCAGCCGGATGAATTTAGGAATCCTTATTTTAACCATACTGAGTCCCATTTTTTTTATTTATTGTATAAGTAAGAATAGCTTTTCACATGGCCTCCCCCTCCACATTTTCAAACAAGTTTATGGTTTTCCTATGGTGACTTGAGACTAAGTAAATCTTTTAGGTCATAAAGGAAAATTGCTAGCTGAACTGAATCCCCAAATAGTTCCCCTTAGCTTTCCTTCCAAATTGCATGCCATTTATTCTCTCCTTGTTCATTGGTAGGATACTGCTTGTTTTTCTTAGAATTACTCCCTTCAGTTTGAAAAGACTTTGTTTTTCAAGTGTGGTGAACATTTCATCCTTTGGATAGAGAGTACATTGATGTTATAAAAATAATAAAAAAGGTGAGTCAAAAGATTTCCAATATTTTTTGGGGTAACTGAATTGGAGTGATTGCAATTTTGGCCCAATCTGACTATCATAATGGAGTTCAAGTGACCCATCCACTTCCTTCGCTGCTAAGGTGTCTGCCTCACTTTGTTTACATTTTCATTTCTCATCCTCCTTTGTCCTCTTCTCAATGTTGAGATAAGCTCAAAGGCCTTTGCAATGGTGACATCCCTATTTCTCTTTCAGGGTCCCATTCTACTGCATATTGGGAACCTTCAGTGCTGGGCAGCAAGCACCTTCCTACAGCATCTCCACGTTCCCACCTCTACCCAGTTCTGTCTCCTTTCTTCCCACTCGACTATGACCTCTTTGAGAGTAGAGACCTTATCCACTTAACAGTTGTATTTCACAGTAGCAGTTTAATAAATGTTGACTGATCTTATGTCTAACTAAATGGTGAATTGTACAAAAGAATGATTGCATGGGCAGCCTTGATTTCATACTGGATTTCATCAACTCAGAGAGGCCAGGGGTCCTCAGAGATGTTTACCAATTTCCT